CCCCGGCCGGGCACCTCCCAGCACAGCCTAATTAATACAGCAGCCGTGGTGGTGAAGAACACGACACTTCATGACTGAAAAACAAGCCTAAAAATAGCTTCCATCTTTTCTCCAATGCCCTCCCAGCCCCACCCTCGTTCCCCCCTCCCCCCGCCCAGGGCTTCCATGGGAAGGGATTGGAGAGATGCTACAGAAGAAGTAAAAAATAAAAGATGATAAAATAAAAGCCCACCTTCCTACGCTTCTGGGTGGCAGGTTTTGTTTGGAATCACTACTCCAGAGTTTGATTAATATCTTGCCTCTGTTTCTTGGATGCCAGCTGAAATGAGGGTTGTTGAAGACAAGCCAAGAAATACCACTCATTTGGTTAACTGAACTGGACCGAAGGCCCAAGGACAATCGCTAAATGTGCCGTTGCATTAGCACTAATGTAAATGCACTAATGTGGAGGACGGACAGCAGATGCATTGGGCAACCACAGAAATTCACCCGACGGTGTATCCATCAGATACTGTAGGAAGGGCCAGAGGACGGAGCAACCCCACGATCCCTGAAAAATGAGAGGTAAGTGCTAAAACGATGAATGACATTCTAAGAGGCCATTATACCCAATTTAAGAATTTGGCAAAGGAATTGAATAGACACATCTCCAGAGACATGTACAAAGAGCCAACCAACACATGAAGAGATGCTCAAAGTCATTAGCCATCAGAGAAATGCAAATCAAAACCACAACAAGAAACCACTTCACACCTACAGGGATAGCTTCGATCAAAAGGACAGGCATCAGCCAGTGTTGGTGATTATGTGGGGAAACTGGAACCTTCATGCATTGCTGGTGGGAATAGAAAATGGTGCAGCCACTTTGGAATACAGTTTGGAAGGTCCTCTCCCCAATCACTGGTAGCCAGGGCTTGGTTTGGGAACCCAATGCAAGGCTTATGCTTAGGATTTTGGAAAAAGCATTGGACAGGAAAAAAAAAAAAAGGGACAATCTGGATTCACTGATGACCAATGCACAGCTATGGGGTGATGGAGGCAGAATGAAGTCCACTGGTTCTGCTTAAAAGTGGTTCTCATCTCTGTGTTCTTAGCCTTCTGGTGCTGCCTGTTTTCTATCCATTCTTAAGCCTCCAGACAATGGTGTGGACCCTAACACCTTTCAACGAAAGGTCATTTCAGCTTAAGTCAGATGGCTACTTTTGGTGGTGACTACAACCTTGCCTGACAGACTCAAACTGCCCCATAGTTTGTCTGCCACTGGACTCTCATCGATAACTTCCACACCAGCCAAAGTGTACTGGCATAGACACATAGGCGTTGGGCTGTCATTACTTGGTAATAATTATTGCTAACTCTAACTCCCTTTTGAGCAATTTCTGATTTCCACATTAACCAGAGAGCAACCTGATTATGTGGGCTTTGAATATTTCCAGTGCCTCGTGGTTACTCTGTGTAACGAATCAACAAAGCGGTTTCTGGATGTGATTTGGCTTCCAAAGCAGGTGGACGTATGGAAGAGTCCCCTCACTTCGCCAGCTCATGAATTCAGGTCTGCAGAACAGTAACATTCAATGGGCACTGGGAACATCTTAGCTTTTACCAGTCTGTCCTCAGGACCCACCCCTCCGTGGATCCTCACAAGATGGACAGATGGATTCTCAAACGCTGGAACCAATTGGCCTTGAATCCTACCTTGATCAGAAAGCAAAGACCGTGACTTACTTGTTAAGAGATTCCCTCCATATCTGCACAACTGGTGACACATCATAGGTTTCAATAAATACTCATTTAACGAATTATAAATATGAAGCAACCTTGCCAAGGTGGCAGTCACATGACCTGGGCCGACCAGACACAAATCAACCTAAGGTGGCTCTAAGTCCTGATTACAAAGCAATGAGTTTTCTTTTATGATTATGGAAATGAATTTTTTAAAAGTTTTTGCTTTAGAGAACATGCATCACCAGAGAGAGAGAGAGAGAGAGAGAGAGAGGAAAGTGAGAAATCACCTCCTCAGGGGGTGGCCTCACCACAATCCCTTCTCCTTCACTCTCCTCTCAGGATTTTTGACACACATGCACACAAACCCAGTATGATTTTCAGGTCTCTGGGTCCAGGACTTGAATCGTCCAGTCAGCCATGTGGGATTTAGTGCCTTAATCTCCCTGCCACCTACTGGCCCCAGAAATTAATCTTATTCATAGTTATGTCACATATCATTTTTTTATTTTTCTTGCTGACCCGTGGTCTGCCTGGTTTTCAGGGTGTGCACATTCTCTTCCAAATGTGCCAAGAGCCTTTTAAAGTATGTGACTGGGGACAGAATGGGACATGAAGATCTTTTGGAGATGCCGGTCTCTGTCTGTCTGTCTCTCTGTCTGTCTGTCTTTCTCCCATGAAAGAAATAAACTTTTCAAATATTGAAATAAAATGTTGTAAATGCAGGTTAAATTTCTTCCCATGCCCATTCATTCCCTTCTTTCCTCAAAAGTAACCACTAATCTGAAAGGGACTTATCAATGTTTTGACACTTTAGCTTAACACGCAGTTACATGTAAGCAACATATATAACCGCAGTGGTTTTATCTACATGCTCTAATTTATGTAAACATATCACACTGTACATAACCATGTATGTGTGTGTGTTTTCTACCTTCCCTGTTGCACATTATGCTGTATCTTTGAAATTTATCAAAGCTGATCTGGTTCATTGAGCTGCTGTGGAGTTTTCGATTATGTGAATATACCATAATGCATTTCCACTCAGACATTCAGATTGTTTCCATTTATTTTCCGTTGCATACACTGTTAGAATTAACCCCCTGGGACATGTCTCCCTGGGCACAGTGTAAGAATTCCTCTAGGGTTTTACCTACAAATAAAACTGGTAAGTGGAAGGTGTATTTTCAACTCTTCTAATTAGTGCCAATTGTTCTCTAAAAGGTGGTATCTGTTTATACCTCTCACCCACACTGGAAGTGAGCTGTCCTTTCCTCACGTCCTTGTCCATCCCTGGTATTATCAGACTTCTGACAATGTGATGTGTGAGAAAGGGTGCACTATTATAGTTTTAATTTGTTTTGTCTACCTTCTTATAGAGTGCACATTTCTCTTCTCTTTCACACACATACACACACACACACACACACAGAGGCCATTTATGCTTCCTCATCTCTGAATTGCACTGCCTGTTCAATCTATTGGCTATCTTCCACTGGTTGTCTTTCTTCTTTTTTTTTTTTTAAACTAAAAAAATTAATCTGGGACCAGCCGATGGCATAATGGTTACGTCGCTGGACTACCATTGTCGACCGCAGTTCGAGTCCCAGTTCCAGCAGCTTGAAACTCATGCCGGGTGCATGTGCATGCGTGCCCAAAATCCCAAGAAGAGAATGAACAAGAAGGGATTGTGGCATGGCCATCCCCCCTGGGGGGTGATTTCTCCCTTTCTCTCTGTCTCTCCAGCAAGTACATGCACCCTATAGGAAAAAAACTAAATCTTTCTTAAAAAATATAAAGTGCTCAATTCAGTAGCATATGTTCTAAATTTGGAATGATACAGAGAAGATTAGCATGGCCCCTGCTCAGATGACACGCACATTCATGAAATGTTCCACATTTTTGGAGGAAAAAACAAGTGAAAGTATGCTTAACTGACAAAAAATGAGAAGCTATTTGCTGATAATAACATATATAGTAATGTCTTTGTCTTGACTGACATGCATGGTATTTATGCTGGAAAAAGAACTGTTGTACACTGTAAAGACATGATTAAATGTAAATAAATAAGAAAAAAAAACAAACAAAAAATAATAGTCTGTAAGGGTGTTTTTTTAATTGTTGTTTATATTTGAATACCAGTCCTTGGTTTATATGTACATTGCTGATATTTTCTTCCGGGTAGGAAAGGTTCTTCTAATTTTGGTGTCTTTTACTATGAAAGCTTTCTTTTCTTTTCTTTTTTTTTTTGAAGGTTTTTTTCCAAGGGGCACGTGAGTTCTCTAGAGAGAGACAGTGAAAGTAAAAGTGAGAAATCACCCCCCAAGGAGGATGACCACACCACAATTCCTTCTCCTCCATTCTCCTCCTGGGATTTGGGGCACATGTACACGTGTCCCCAGGATGATTTTCAAGCTGTCGGGTCCAGAATTAAGCATGGTTGGCCATGAGGGAGTCCAGCACCTTAACTATACGCTACCTGCTAGCCCTGCAAAGGTTTATGTTTGTGCCTTTTGGTACACAGAGATTCTTCATTTTAATGTAGTCATATTAATCAGTCCATTTCTTTGTCTTACTAATTAGTTCTAGTCTACTTTTCACATAATAAAGTCATTTACCTATATTTTATTATTTTTTCCAAATTTAGGTCTTTAATAAATCTAGACTTTATTTTTGTTTATGATTTGAAGTAGGAGTCTCACTGTTTATTCAGTTGGAAACCCAATCACCTCAACATTACATACTAAAGTGTTCATATTCCAGTTCTGTCAAATGCCAAATAACAATAATGGATTGGATCAATGTGGGGGGTATTTTGTTCCATGAGTTTTAAACTCTGCTCTAGTACCCCACTGCCTTAATTACTATAGCTTTATAGAAAGCTGTAATATCAGGTAGGATAAAGACCCTTCTACTTAACTTTTTAAAGTCATTTATGTGAATTTTAGGATTATCTTCTCTTACTCTATTAAAAAAGAAGAAGAAGAAAACCATAGCATTTTAGTTAGATTGGCACTGAATTTATAGATTGATTTGGGAATTGATCACAACTTTATAATATATGGGGTTGTTGGAAAAGTCATGACATACTTTTTCTATGCAAAAATGCATTATTGCTTTTCTTACCACCCAATTGGATTTTCTTTTTCTTTTTTTTTTTTTTAAAGAGATTTTTGCTTTAGGGCCTGTGCGCTCACCAGAGAGACAAAGAGAGACAGAAAGTGAGAAATCACCCACCGGGGGAATGGCCATGCCCTAGTCCTTTCTCCTCCATTCTCTTCTTGGGATTTTGGGCATGCATGCACAAGTGCCCAGAATGAGTTTTAAATGACCAGGTCTGGGTCTCCAAGCACGGTCAAGTACATGGGAGTCCAAAGACATACCCATTATGCCATCTGCTGGTCCCAACCATCCAATAGGATTTTCAGTCCATAAATATGATATATCTTACAATTTGTCTAGGGTTTTTAAAAGGGCCACAAATGTTTTATATTTTTTTTTCCAAAAAGATTTTGCAGATCTTACAAATTTATTACTGAGTATCTTTAAGTTTCTTATTCTATATTTTCCCAATTATTATTACTACTCTATATAATGCTATTGATTTTTGTATAGGGCTTTAGACTCAGCAATCTTGCTGAATTCTCATATTGATGTTAATGACTATCAAGAAGGTATGAAATTTCTATATTAAACAATTATATTCTCTGCAATTGACCATTTTCTTCTTTCTTCTTACTTTCTTTCCTGTTCTACTGCATTGGCTAAGACCTTCCCACGATGTTAGATAAGAGTGGTAATAACAAAGAGTCTTAGTTTGTTCCTGACTTCATGGTGGACAAGTACACTAAAAGATTTATTAAATGTTAATTTAATAAATTTCAGGGGTAAATCCGATTAGGTCATGATATATTATTTTACTCGTGCTAATGTTTCACAGAAGATTTTCATGTGGTAGCCACTGTTAGTTGTTTTCTCAGCATTTACCTTCTATTTTCTCTCTGTTCCTCTATTTGCAAAAAAAGTTTTTGAGAGGTTTTTGCTATAGAGCGCATGCGCTCGCCAGAAAGACAGAGAGACAGAGAGACAGAAAGTGAGAAATCACACCCGGGGGGATGGCCACGCTGCGCAATCCTTTCTCCTCCATTCTCCTCTCAGGATCTTGGATACACACACACACACACACACACACACACACACACGCCCGGCATGAGTTTAAGCCACCGGGTCCAGAACGAACCACAGTCGACTATGTGGGGAGTCCAACGACAGCCATTATGCCAACTGCTGGTCCCTTAATTTTTTTTTTTATTCTTTTTTTAAGTTTATGTCTTTGGGCAAGTGCACTGCCAGAGAGAGGGAAAGCAAGAAATCATCCCCCAAAGGGGGATGATTATGCCACAATCGCTTCTCCATTCTATTCTCGGGATTTAGGGCACACACACACACACACACACACACACACACACCCCTGATGTGATTTTCAAGCTGCCAGGTTCAGGCCTCGAACCACAGTTGGCCACATGAAAATCCAACCCCTAAACCACCATGCCACCTGCTTTCCCTCCCCATTTCTAATAAGCAGACTACGCGTCTCTTGTATAGGAAAGAGCCAGCTTCTGCAAGCATTTTCTTATTGTCAGGGAGGAAAATCTCATATCTCATTGCCCAGCACTAAGTCAGATGGCCATCCCTAGCTGTTAGAGTTGCCAAAAAATTATCTCACGTTTTGATTTACCCTCCAAATTTACGTTTCCTACTTACCATAGCTCTTATAGGTTTCTATTTTTTATTCCCTTCTCCTCTATGAATTGATCAAGTTTTCTCTTGGAAGTTATGTATTGTTTTACTATCCCTTCAGAAGTTACCATTAGCTTTTGCATACACATATTGGTCTTTAAAAATCTGAAAGTAACCAGCATCTCTTCAATTTCTGAACAACATCAACACTGTAGTGTTTTTTTACTGTAATTTTACCCTCCCATCTTCTGTGTAATTGTTGCCTATTACTTAGATTCCACAAATATCCCCTCATTAGTTATTATGAGGCTTTTTAAAAATTTGCTATAGGGCATTTGTCAGAGAAAGAGAGAGAGACAGAGACAAAGTGAGAAAAAGGGAGAGGAAAAGTGAGAAAGCACCATCCAGGGGTACGGCTAAGCCCTTATCCTCTTGGGATTTTGGGCACATATGCACGTGTGCTTGGCGTGTTTTTCAAACTGTTGGGTCTGGGACTAGAACCACGCAGTTGGCCATGTGGGACCCACGTGCTTTCACTGCAACATCACCAGCTGGCCCTGGAAGTATTTTTAAAACACCCTATGCTCATTCAGATTTGCCCAGATATTTGTCAATGTACTTGTTTATTGTTATCTTTAGATACCCATCTCCTTCTGGGCTCAGTTTCCTCGTTCTTGAAGCACATCTTTTAGTAGTGCTTTCATTGAGAGTAGGCTAAGAGTTGTACTCTCTCTCAGCCCCTGATTGTCAAAAACTATTTTTATGCCTGATTCTCAGTTTCAACCTCTGATGTTGTAGGCCTCAGGCCACATTTATGGACATGATGCTCCGAGCACCTAGCTGTCAGGACGTACACACTCGGTTGTGATACTTCCTGGCTTCCTTAGCACTAGCGGGTCTGCTTTCCACTCTGGTTTGAGTTCTCTTTATTTCTAGCATCCAAGGATTTCCTTTTCTTTGTCTTGAGTCCAGCTTCGTATTGTTATATTTCATCCTGTGTTTGTCATAGGAAGTGGGGGAAGGGCCGTATTAATCTTTTTAGTTACTATTACTGGAAGTCCACATATTCTATTTATAAAAGATTTCCCTCTTACTAATGTTCATTGCTCCCCCGTAAAATTAATGCCACATAAATATGGTAAGATGAAACAGACATGACAGACATCTGGACATTTGGTACTCTGTTTCAACAGAAGTTACAAAGTTTCTCAATTTTTTCTTGATTTTAGTACATAAGGAACATTCCTCAGGCAATAACTTGAGAGAATGCGACCATCCGCCAAGGGATGGAATTTTCCATTGGTTTCTGTTTTCCGACACCTCCTTCACTTCTCTTTGTTCTACAGAAGTGATCCCTGAGGAGAAACCTGCTCAATATTTGATTTACACCCTCCACACTAAGAATGCCAAAGCAGAATACTGAGAAACCTGCCTCTGTGAGGGAGCCACCCCTGGGCCAGACCTGGAGCTCAGCTACTTCTGCAAATCCACAGCTGGCTGCAGGCCGAACTGGTTCCAAATCCTGGGAATTCACAGCCACTAATAGATAAATGGATAGATCTTATTTGCATTTCATCATGACTCAGGAATTCCCTGGTCCTGTATCCTGGACAGAGTAAAACGCACTGGTTTAAATAGCCCCAGGCCTTCAATGTCATGAAACTGGCCTGGGAGACCACGCTGTACCCTATGACAGGAGCCAACATCTCCCATCAAGAAGGAGCAGCTTACTTCAGACTGCTCACGAGTGAAGCCAAGGTGAGAATGGCGAAATCAAATGTGGCTCCTCTCAGAACCATCTGACCAAGTCCAAGGCACTAAGAATGGGTAATACTCACAGACGTCAGTGAATACACTGGGGACACTGTTCAGCTCAGATGTCGAAGATGCTTTCTGAGTAATCATATGTGGGCCACTCGGACAGGCCATGGGGGAGAAAAGTATTTATTCATGGAAAGGCTAATGTAGGACTGGTTCTCTGGGGTAGACAGTTAGTTTCGATAACATACATTTCATGTCACATGTGACTACAAATATTCTGACCCAGAAAAGAACTGAATGGAAGAAGACAGGAGAGTTGAGGGGATAGGGCAAGGAGAAGATCAGAGTGGCCCTGCAAATCAATTATGCCATGAGTGATAAGAAAATAGCAAGCGATTAAAGCACATATTTTGGGAAGCAGACAATAGCCTTGATTAGTGCTGGTTTATAATCCTCAATGCTTTGTCCTTCCAAAAGGAGAATGATGACCTTTCCCTTGGGAAGGATGGCTTTACTTGAGAAAGGGACGTGGCCTTGTTCATCACGGAGCGCTCAGATCTCAGGTGACTGCTCATTCTGTCATTTCCTGAGTGGTCACTTGGCAATGAAACCACATGAAGTCAAGGCCCAAAGGCATGATGCCACCTTCAGCACTTCCGTCCAACATACATGCAAGACCAGCCCCTCTCCCCAGCTAGTACTGAAGGGAGGAGAGAGTCCTTCCATTCTTAAGATTAGATTTCAGCCTTTCGTGTCATCAAAGGGGTGGGAAAGGGAAGAGAAAACCCCTCCTAAGGAAGATGCAGCTGAGAACTATTCTGCAGAATGCGGGAGGGCAGACTCTGTTTTGGGAACAGATGAGACCAGCGGTCATACAGGGTGGACAAAAGAGCTTTCCGAGTGACAGTCACATCCCAGGTGCCCCCTGTCTCTCCTTACGTCACGCTGGGGGTCAAGAGGGAGGAGACGTGTGTGAGGAGACAGCCCCAGGATGGGACGCAGATGCCACCACCTACCTGTTGAGATACACCCGCTTCTCCGTGAACTGCCCGTTGCCGTGGTGAGGGTCTTCGAAGGGCTCATTCTGGACGACCTCCACTCCCTCTCCTCGGTCGCTCTGCTCATGGCTGTGCTTGCTGATCATGTACAGCTGTCCGATTTTGTACTACAAAACACACAGAGACAGAGACACGGAGGTCAGCCCACCGCTTGCTCTGACAGCCCCCCGCCCAGCCACCGCGTGGGAAGGAACGAATAACATCAGCACGTTCTGCTGCGAGGAGAAAGCAGCCGCGCGGGCCTCGCGCTGCTTTTCCCTGGGAGCCGGGGAGAGGACTAGCTGTGAGCAGAACGCAGAAACGGCATGTTCCTGTGAACATTCTGCATCACCTTGGCAAATGCTCGCTGTGCGGCTCTGGTCTTCAGGGCCTGGCAGCCAGCCAAGTCTTGGGAAGGGCAGCGAGGAAGGAGCGCTGGAGCCTCCCTTCCCTTTCCAGCCCTACGGGCTTAAATGGAACTAACGTCCTATTTGGTTTGGCCAACGAGCCTGGGTGCGTTATTTCTGTCCTTGCTTTCTGCCTAATTAACAACATTGCTGGGCACAGAGGATTAGATGTCACCTGCTTCTTCCATCCCCTGTCACAGTGCTCAGCTCTCCTGTAGGCCTCTGTCCCCTGGAACAGCAGTGCTCAAAGGCAGCGGAACATCAGAACCACCCACAAGCTATTAAAAGCTCCAGATGCTCAGGCTTCACCACGGTCCCGGTAGAGAGCCGATGCTAAGAACCCGTGTTCCAGAAACCTTTTCCACAGAGGACCATCCCCAGTGTCTTTAGCTCTGTTCACCCATTCTGCGAAGAGCATGGAGCCTTTCAGTCTGAGGTCCCAGAAGCCGCAGGTCTTACGCTACAATGATAACCTGAAGCAACATACAGCAGGAACATTTTCTGTCCTTTCTTCACTGTGGGGCTGATACACTCTGCCTCCTACCTCTTCAAAACCCCCAGGGACCCCAGTGAGCTTTCAAAGTGGCAAAACTATTTTGATAGAGGAAAAAGAAAGAGGAGGGGATAGCACAAGTTCTGCATGAGTGACAAGTCTGCTCAGACCAGGAGTCAGGGTCATGTGACCCTGCTGTGATCCATCCTGTAGATTTGGTGTGACCCAACAGAGACACAGAGTCATGACCACCAAGGCCTCTGGGACAGGGAGCAGGGCCTGAGTCTGCCACACGGTAACTCTGGGTTGTTCCCGAGAGTCCTGGTCAGCAGAGATGCAAGTCCCCTGACTGTGTGCATGAGAGAGCGAGAGAGAGAGGTTTTAAATGAAGGGGGCAGGACAAAAGTACAGGCCAACAGTGCAGTCAGTCCCAAAGCTGAGAGGACATACACGTCCGGAGGTCCCTGTGTCATTCTGAGACAGGTGCAAGGAGGGAAGTGTGAAGAAGCTGTGACAGGCTCTGCTCTGAGGCCAGCCCCAGGGACCAGCCCGTAACCATGACAATGGGAACAGCAGCTGGCTAGGTCTTCTCAAAGGGCTGTGCTTCCTCTCTGTGCCACGCCCCCCTCCAGATTGTTCTGTATTTAATACAATTTTTTTTAAAGAGAGATTTTTGCTATAGGGCACATGTACTCACCAGAGAGAGACAGAGAAAGACAAAAAGACAGAAAGTGAGAAATCACAGCCAATCAATCACTTCTCTTCCATTCACCTCTTGGGATTTTGGGCATGTATGCGCACATGCCTGGAGAGAGTTTGAAGCTGCTCGGTCCAGGACTCAAACCACGGTCGACCATATGAGAGTCCAGAGACATAACCATTACGCCAATTGCTGGTCCCTAAAACACTTTTAATGTGAGTGTGTGTACATGTATGACTAAGCCACTATACAGTGTATTCTGGATGGGAAACTGCATCTTGTATGCTGTGACGATGTTCAGTGAATGAATGCAAAATAAATTATTAATTAAAAAACATGAGTGTGTGTGTGCACGTGCGCACTTGAGGGGAAGGGGAGCACTGATAGTGACAGCAGGAAGAGAAAAGAGGAAACTCAAAGATAAATCAATTTTGAAAACAAATTTCAGGATCAGATGCTTGACAGGCTTCTGCTTAGTCTGGTATTGCGTTTACTTATGCTCGCAAAGACGAGCGCTCTTTGCAGGAGAAAGACAGCAAGGGATTTTTTTTCTGCAGACCTGTGAGCTGGGCCCTCGCCTCGCACGGGCTGCCACACTAGCCTCTAACGGGATTTCACCACAATCACATCGTACTTGGTGTTCAAAAAAATACGTACATACAGTGGAATAGAATTCAACTGTAAAAAGGAAGGAAATACAAATAGTGAAACTGCTTAATGGCAGTTCTGAGTTGAATCGTGACCCTCGACATCCATATGGTGAAGTCCTAACCCCCAGTGTGTAAGGACGTGACAGTGCTCGGAGACAATCTTTACAGAGGTAATCAAGTTAAACGAGCTCATTAGGGAGGGGTCTAATCTGAATGCAGTCCTTATAAAGGGGAAATGTCGACACAGATAAACAGGCATGGAGAAAGATGAGGGAAGAGACACAGAGGGAAGATGGCCAGCTACAAGTCAAGGACGGAGTCCTGGAACAGGTCCTTCCTTCGCAGGCCTCGGAAAGAACCACCCTGCTATCCTCTGGACGCTGGATTTCTGGCCTCCAGAACCGTGCGCCGACGCATTTCTGCTGTCTAATCCCTGGGCCTGTGGTACTCTGTAATGGCTGCTCTAGGAAACGAGTATAATAGGTTTGGGGTGACGAAAACGTTCTCGACCTAGACAGAGACGGTGGTTGCACAACAGGATACACTAGATGCCACCGAGCTATTTATCTTAAAGTGGTTCATTTTCTGTTATGTGAATTTCCCCTCAATTAAAACAAAAAACAAAACAACAACAAAAAAAAGTTGGTGCCAGACAATGCAGCAGCAGTAACACAACAGCCTGTGATGCTGAACCCACATGAGAAGGTCGCAACTTCGTGTCTCATGGCCCCCCTGTACACGCTGGACATGTATGGTGACCCTGCTGGGGGTCTCTCTCTCTCTTTCTCTTGGAAGAAATAAATGAATAAACCTAAAAAGGTCTTGACTCTTTGGAAGCGGATGCCCCGACACCAAAGTCCCAACGAGGGTGTAGTGAGAGGTCTACAGACAGGCTATGTCTACCACTGGGCCAGCCTCAGGAGCTGGAACTCACTCACACAGAAAAAAACGCATGGGGTCAAGGTCGAAGCACGACACAGAAAAGCCATTAGCCAGATGCGAGTCAGCCCCGGCTGTGCTGCGCTCAAGTGCTTCCTGCTCGTCAGGAGGAGAAGGCCTAGCGGCCGCAGCTGATCCACAACAGCCAGTGGACAGACAGCCCAGCCGCCCGGCCTCATTGATCATTCCAGCGGCTCCCGAATGAGCCAGCGCAGGGCAGACAGCACCCTTAGCTCACTAAGGCGGCGTCACTGTGGGGTGACACTCTAGCCCAGACACAGAGATGGTCCAGGTCTCTGCAGCGGTCACTTCTTCTGTCCCCAGAAAGCCAGGCCTGCTCTGCTGGTTGTGGCCACAGGGGCTGGCCACCAGGAGCTGGTTTTTTTTTTTTTTTTTAGGTTTCTTTCTTTCATTCATGAGAATGAGAGAGAGAAGGGGAGAGAGACCCTCAACTAGGTCTACATTGTGATCCATCCCCTCCTTCCCAGCCCACCAGGATCATGGGCACACAGGCCACATATGTACGGGTCGACCGTGGACCAGAACCCGTGATCTCCCACATTGACCCAGTATTACTTGAGCTGCACGTTACCAATGGGCCACTGAGCCGGCCCAGCTCTCACGTGTATTTAATTATTTAGATGTTGTTCCTTTACTTGTGATAGAGGGAATGTGTGCATAAACGGGGGCGCCCTGCACAGGGTCCAGTTACTCCACTATCCTCTCCCTCCCCCGCCCGCCCAAGGCCTCCAGCCTGTCGGATCTCAGGCACTCACAAGGGAGCCGGGAGCACTTCAGGCTGACGGCTGGGGATTCGATCAGGTTACAAGTGACCTTGGCACGGTGATCTGGTACACTACCTCCTACACCACCACTACTGGGGCCGTTGTTTTAAAACCATAAACTCACACATAGACTCAAGCAGCAGTTACTCAGGTGGGGAAGCGGGAAGGGGCAGGCAGACATTGAACACCTATGACAGATCACCAGGGAGCCTCCTAAAATGCTGCATCCTGGGTCATTCCAGATCTTCTGTACTCACAGGGGAGGGGACTGAGAATCTTACGCAAATGTCCCAAAGCGTTGAGAACCCCAGGAGCAGAGCCGTTGGTACGACGGTGCCAAGGCTAACGTGGTCCGTCTTTCGCAGACCTGATGCTTTTTCTCTTTCATACTGACTTCGTGCAAAGCTCCTGCCCTGATTCAGGGTAAATGCAATGTCCCTAGTTACCACCTCCAAACAAACTTGGATGCTAAATGAAGGCTGAAAATCCGATGACCTGTCAGAAGGCTTCTGGAGACTTCCAGGCCAGAGAATTGATAATGCAATTGATAGGATGAGGTAATATGGCAAGCTGTACTGAGCGCCCTTTAGTGTGAGTCAGTGATTAGGTGCTTTGCAGTCATATTTCTTTTTTTTTGATTTTTTTTTTTTTTTTTTTTTTTATCATAAGGTCGCTGTGTTAACAGAAAGAGACAGAAGTGAGAAATCACTCCCCAGGGGGGACGGCCATGCCACAATCCCTTCTCCTCCATTCTCTCTGAGGATTTGGGGAATGCATGCACACACACCCGGCATGATTTTCAAGATGCAAAGCCTAGGACTCCAACCGCGATCAATTATGCAGGAGTCCAGAGCCTTCACCACAATGCTACCTGCTGGCCCCTTCTTTTCTTTTTTTTTATGTATTTCTTTTTCTTGCCAGAGGGTGTGAGTGTGGATACATGCACACGCCAGAGAAAGAAAGCACTCCACATGGGGAGTGCTACAATCCCTCTCCATTTCTCCATCCCGTCAGGAGTTAGGGCACACATTCATGCCCGGTGTGTTTTCCAGGCTGCCAGGGCTAGCCGAACCGTGGTCAGTCACGTGGGCTCCAACTTTCTATGCCCAGCATCTAACCGCTGCAGTGCTGGGCTGGCCCTGCAGTCATTTGTA